GGGTTGTTTCTGGGAAGTAGGAAAATAGAAAGTTTGTAAGCCCACTCGCTTCAGTCATTAAAATTTGATCTTTAAATGGGTTTAGGCCATAGCTGTAATGTGGTAGCTGAACATTGAATAAGGAAGACTGAAGAGACTTACTGCACTTGAATTATGGTGCTGGTGAAGAATATTGAAAGCACGGTGGATTGCCACGAGAGCAAACAGATCTGTCTTGGAAGAAGTACAGCCAGTGTGCTCTTTGGCGGCAGTGATGATGAGACTTCGTCTCACATACTTTGGACATGGCATCAGGAGAGACAAGGCCCCAGAGAAGGACATTACGTTTGGTGAAGGAGCAGCAAACAGACAAGCCCCTTGGAAAAGGATGCCGTATTTGTGAAGTAGAGGGTCAGTTAACATCATGAGAAGGGAAGATGAAGACCTTCGATAAGATGGATTGGCACAATGGCTGCAACAATGGGCTCAGTCATACCACGTGTGAGGCACGGGCCTGGGCAGTACTTCCTTCTGTTGTTCCAAGTCGCCATGAATTGGAATGAACTTGACAGCAACAGACACCAGCAACATTATATGCCAGGCGGAGTTATGCTACTGAGAGATATTAGGATAATTAATTATTTTGTACCCAATTATATTGAAGGGTATAACTTCTACTCTACCTTACCATCACATGACCCCTTACCCTCCTGGGTAATGGGCACTGAGATATCATGGAAACCCTGCTCAGGCTCCCCTGTCCCTCATCATTCTGAGCCCTCACCCACATCTCCTCTCAAGATCCCCAGGCGCAGGTCTTCCCGTATGCTCCCTGATGGAAGGCACTCCCACTCAGGCCCTGCTCTGCTGAAAGCACTGCCCTGGGAAGTTGCTTTCAGCATGAACACTCTTCAGTTAGATAACTTGCAGAAAAATCAAGTGCTTACAATGTGCCAGGAATCATGCGGTGTGGATCAACCTAGGATGCTAACATTCCCTTCTCTTGGATGTTTTTCGGTTTTTCCTGTCACAGTTTTTCTTCCCAAGAGCAGTTTGGTTTTTTCCTCTCAGAACGTGCCTTCTGAAAAGCACGTTGGTTCGCTTGCTTCACTGCAACACTGCATCTCTCTAAGGTTATCTGGTTCTGCGAGGTTATTGCTTTGCCTAGTCTCCAAGCCCTTTCACGTATGTGTGTGTATTTGACTATTCTTTTCTGTGTGTGAAAGGCATGAGTCCCTTTACATTTTTCTAATCAGTTGTTTTCAAGTATAATTTATAGACAATAAAGTTCATGCATTTAAAAAAAAGAAAAAGTCTTCTACGGAAATACAAGAAATTGGAGGTCTTAATGAAATAAAAAATTAAAATTATAGTGAATATAAGCTTCCTTAAGTGGATTTGACAACTTATGACATGGAAAAATTCATAAACTGTGCAATGCTTTCAAATTAAATTGTCTGAGAAGCCAAAAAAAAGAAAAGAAAATATATGTCCCACTCAGTGCTTTGGAAAACTAAGGAACCAGTAGTCTTTGTCAGTAGCTGGAAAAAATCTGGAACCATGAAGAAAACTCCTCTCTGGGACTGAATGTTAAAGGGAGCCTGTGAGCAGGCTGAAATGCTTAGTAGGTGACCACCTGGATCTACTTGTTGAGTGGAAGTGGGAGAAATGCAGCAATAAAGAGACAGGTTGAGTTTGGCCACTGACACCTGTGGACTTGGTTTACAGGGGAAAAAGGAGAAGATGAGAGCGGGTTGACTGGTCTAAGGTTCATGACCTAGCCTGAGGGGGCTAGGCTTGAGTTGGTGAGAGCCCATGGCCTAAGGAAAGGCGAGCAATGGGCACCCTGTGGAGGCTGAGTGAGGCAGCCCACATTGAGTTGATGACCAGAACCCGACCAGCTGGAGACTTTTGAGCCTGTGAACTGGTGCATATTGTTGCTGACTTTATGGATGGCCTGTCTGGATTTGACTTTGTTTATGGATGCAGACTTCACAAGGTTCCAACTGGAATGAAGACTTCGTGTCGAAAAACATGATTGTCTTCTCTCAGAGAACTGGGTTGATATAAGTGGGCAGTATATAAATTGGGTAACTAAAATTGGGGGAGATAAAGGCATGAAGTGGTTGGCTTACAAACTTTCACAGGTAGGGGAAAAAATTCACAAGATTATAGGGTTAAGGTATAGGTGTTAATTGCAATTGTGAAGCTAAGAATTATATACAGGTGCCAGGTTGGCAAGGGATGGATTGAGTTAGTTAATTGTGCCAGCCTGGCCGATAATCACATGTGGGGCTGGTTGAAAGGTGGAGGGATAAATGGGTGGTGAAGCCTTGCCTTTCTAGTTCTCGGGTCTCTTGTTTTGTGATGGTTGCACCGGGTGCAGCTGCCTTAGCAGTTCCCTGCTTCAGCTTGCAAGATTGACTTCATACAAGACATCCCCAAGGAGAAGCTACATGGACCTATCCCGATGCAGCCCTCGGTGCTGGAGCAGCCGTGTGGAGACCCCTGCTAGTGCTGAGATGCTTGTTCGTTCATTGACTCAGCTTTCCTCCTGCAGTAAGGCATCATTGCCTCTGTTTTGTGAGCTGGAAGACTTTGTGAACTGGTGTTGGGTTAATGGGTTAATGTTGGACTTGTGGGCTTGGGCAGCATTGGGTTGGGATGTTTTCGTGATGCACCTTTTCTTTACATAAAACTCTCTCATACATGAGTTGCTGTGGATTTGTTTCTCCAAAGTACCTAGACTATTATAAGCCCCTCACTTGTTAGGGTTCCATATATCTTATTTACGTAGTCCCACCCAGTCACTTAGTGGAAGATTCAAAGACTCCACCTAGAAGAACTATATTAAGTCACTGCACCACAACTTTGATCCAGTCATGGAAGCAGTCATCAAGGTATCAAATGATGATTACATTAGACAAATCTGCCACAAAACCTTTTAAAGTGTTAAAAAACAAAGAAAGCATTTGAAACTAAGGTGTGTCTGACCCAAACGATGGTATTTTCAATTGTCCCATCTGCCTATGAAAGCTGGACGTTGAGACTGATGAATAACTGGCACCTTGGGATTCTGATGGCATAGTTGAAGAACGCTGAAATCACCATGGACTGCTAGAACACATCTGCTTGGCAGTATAGGTAAAAGTGCTCCTTAGAAATGAAGGTAGAAGGTTCATCCTGTGTACTTTGGTCATGTTATTGGCGAGGAAGGCGGTCCCTGGAGAAGGACCTCGTGCCTGCTAGGAGACCCTCAGTGAGCTGGGTTCACACAGGGGCTGCAGCAGTGGGCTCAGCACACTGTCAGGAGTGTGAGTTTGGAATAGGACCGGGCAATGCTTTGTTCTGCTGTGGCTGTGAATCAGAACTGATTTGACTGTACCTCACAATAGCAACAAATAAGTAAACAACAAAGATAGCTAGACTAAGAGATTGGGAGTGGATTCATCCCTGGCATCCCCACCCCCACCCCCCTGCCCCACTCCCCCGTTCCTCTCTCATAGGCCAGATGCTCATGTGTTAGCCAATAAAATCAAAGAACCCAGCTCCCACAGTGGCCAGAGAGTAACAGCCTGGGTGTGGTTGTGTTTTGGAATATCGGAATGTGTTTTATTTATTATCACATGTAGCTTTCAGGCTATCATATGATTATAATAAGGACCCTTATCATTCTTAATCTCTGTTATTTTGTTGTTGTTATACTGTCTATTGACATATTATCCCCAGTGATACTAATAAAACACACTGTTAATGAAGTTAATGAAGTATGAATATTACCATCTAATATATGAAAAATTCTGAGTCTCAGGAGCTAGGTCTGTACCCTCCAGTCAGTTGCTCTCAAAGGACAAAGCCTCAGTGGATAATCCTCCAGACTGCTAAATTGATTCCGCCAGCTGCACAGAGCAAAGCAGTGTAAAATTAAGCCTGAGTTCCATATTTCCTACGGTGATCTTTCCCTCCCTATACAGCTGTTTATCCAAATTGTTCAGATGCTCAAGAGAGAAACAATATCGAAGTGACTGAGAGATGCTGACTGTGCCCGGAGAGCCAGGGGAGGGAAGGTCCCAATGATAGAAGGGGGCGGGGGAGGAGGAGGAGGAAGAAAAGGACAAAGAAAACAGCCCTGTTGCTCTTTCATGGTAGAGCAGACTGGCACATATGCGGGAGGCTAACACCCTTATTCTCAAAAGGTTTCCATTCTGGAAAGTTGAAAACATTTTCAGGAAGAAGTAGCAATTAAAGAATGAATATAAATTAATTACAGATTGACACAGCAACTGAAAAGGATTGAGTTATTGGATTAAAGCGAATTATGATAAGCTTTATCTGGTATACATCTTTAACTTTGGAGCAAAGATTTAAGAGCATTAAATATATTAACTAATGTGTCAGTCAGCTATTATGCCTATAACCACAATAATTATGTGTTGTCATGGTATTTTCTCTCCAAAAATGTAGCTTTTTGATCAGTTCTTTAGTCTTTGGTAAAAAGAAGACTTGAAGCAGTTCATATCTTGCCAAACTTTAATAATATTCAGAATATGAGTCAATTATAATGGACTGCTTGTTGACCAGCCCACATCCACCACTGAAAACCCGAAGCATGTACATATGTACATGTGCAGGGTGTCAGGACTTCCAGATGTTTCTGGAAAAATACATAAGGAAAATATAATGCCATTTTCCATAAATTTTCTTAATCTTCCTTGTAACTATGCATATCAATCATACCGCATGAAGGATTATAGTAGGGTAGCTGTATATTTTGATGGGAAATATTTAACATATAAAAACCTAGTTTTTCTTAAGGCCCAGAACATTACTCAATAAATTTTTGAGAAATAAGCACTCAGCATATAAAATAGAAGAAAGGATACAGATCTGTATATAAGAACTTTCCAGTGACAGGAAATAAATAGTAGGAAAACACAAGTAATGAAATTAATATAATTAATGCCTACAAGCAAATCATTGTTCCCGTGATTTTTCTCCCCCCCCACCTCCTTCATTTCTAGATTGAAAAAGAAAAAACAAGCCAAACAACAAAATGCAGAGACCACTTCAGCCACCGCTACCAGGAGTCGCACTGGAAAAGAAGATGCTCACGCCGCCACTGTAGAGCCAGACAAGGGCAACATCACTATCGATCACGAGGAGTACATTACCGATGAGAAGAAGAAAAGAAAAAACAATCAGCTAAAGGAGATCAAGCGTACCGAATTAAAGAGATACTATAATACTGGTACGTAAGTGGCAGTGGCAATAGCTGCAGCATTTTGATTTTAAAATCGTGCTTTTTTTAAGGGGTATAATGTTACATGGTCATATTAGTAATGGTAACAGATTATTGAGTAACTAAAATGTACCTCAGGCATTTGCTCTGTAGATAATCTGTGTACAGGGGTGGCAGTGTGGTCCATGTGTTGGTATATCTTATTTGTGCATTGTCTAGTACAGTGGTTCTCAATCTTCCTAATGCCGCGACCCTTTAATACAGTTCCTCATGTTATGGTGACCCCGTATGTGGGTGTATCTGCATGTAGGTGGACCCACCTGGAGACGGATAGAGGAGTGGTGCTTTGGTTCCTAAGACCATCAGAAATATGGTCTTAACGACCCCTGTGAAAGGGTCATTGGACTTCCCAGGGGGTCGTGACCCCCAGGTTGAGAACCACTGGTCTAGCACATCCTATGTGCTAACATTTGTCAGATGAGTGAGTACTTTCCCTATATGTAAAATAGTTAATTTTTCATAATATATGTAAACATATACATAAAAGAGTTCATAGAAGTGCCTCTGCTTTTTGGCATCAGCTAGGCAATGAAAAATGAAGAGGACAGGGTTTATCAGTTCAAAACATAGACTTGGAAGCTTTACAAAAAGGGAACTTTAAAATGAATTTACAGCATCATCATTTCACACAAGAGCCGTTGCCTTGTGAGCTGCGTTATGAGAAGCGGCATATCTCCCCTGGTGGGCATGATCGCCGTGCCTCTCTGGGCTCTTTCATCTCTTGCTGTCACTCACCAGCCGAGAGTATGGTCAGAAAGAAGTGCAAAGGAAGGGCAGTGCTGGTGCTGGTGCTGGTGCTGGTGGTGTGGTGTTCAAGTTCATTCCAACTCATAGCAACCGGATGGAAAACAGAGAAAGCGTCTGCTTGCCCTTTGCCCTCTTCCCACTGGTTGCTATGGGTGAACCGTTGTTTCGGCCACTGTGTCAGTTGACGGTGGGAAGCCTTCTTCTTTGGGGCTGACCCTCAGCTTTATGAAGCGTGGTGTTCTTTTCCAGGGATTGGCCCCTTTGGATACATATCCCAAGCATGTGAAACAGTCTTGCCATCCTTGCTGGTCAGGAGCATTCTGGCGATACTTCATCCAAGACAAGATTTGTTGATTTTTTGGCAGTCCAAGATCCAGGCCGTCCTTAGATTGTGCCAGATTTATGGGCATTTCCTATTTGCCTTTTGATGTTATATAAACTTGACCTCCATTTTAAATTATTGAACCAACCCCTGCTGGCAGCAAGTTCTTTATCGTGGTCGTCTCTCACTTGGTGCCTGTGTAGCTGTTAAGTGTCCAAAAGGCTTCAAGTCTTTTCTTGAACTGCCCCCAAAACCCAAACCCTGCCTTAGAGTTGATTTTGAATGCCTCTATAGAGGGTTGCTGGAACTGTAAATCACTATGAGATCAAACAGCCTCATCTTTCACCAGCAAAGTGGCTGGTGAGTTTGAACTTACAACCTTCCAGGCAGCAGCCAATGCTTCACCCATCATCCCGGGACTCCTTTTCTTGCACTAAAGGTCAGACTAAATCAGAACCATTCGCACCCGTTTCACCTAGCCTACCCATTCTCCCGGGCATTTTTAGGAACAAATATCATTCATAACCCAAGCACTGCTTACATAGTCAGTATCCTTCGCCAACACTCTAATTCAAATCAATCAGTTCTTCCGTCTTTCTTTATTGCCTAGCTTCCACCTACAGATCAAACAATTAAAAATACCAGGGCTTGAGTTGGGCACGTCTTACTCTGTAAAGTGACATCTTTGCTTTTATGCATTTGAAGAAGGTCTTTTGCAGCAGATTTCCCCAGCGCAGCAACACTCAGTGTGATTTCTGGATTGCTGCTTCGCTCTGCGTTGATTAGGGCTCCAAGTACAATGCGGTGCTTGAGAGCTTTTTTCCATCCATTGTGATGCTGTCTATTGGGCTCGTTGCAAGACTTCGTTTTCCATCCTGAAATTTGTAATCTTTCATCATCAGTAAGGGCTTCAAATCCTCCACACTTTCACAAGCAAGCGTATGTCATCTGCACATTGCAGGTTGTTAATCCAGTCTGGACATCACGTTTTTCTTCATGCCGTCCAGCTTCTTGGATTATTTGGTAGCATGCAGGTTAGTATGTAAGATGAAAGGATACCACCATGATGCACGCCTTTCCTAAGCCACCCAGCATCCTCTTGTTTTGTCTGAATAACTGCCTCTTTGTGTATAGGTTCCACATGACCACAATTAGGGGTTCTGGAATTTTGTTCTTTATAATGTTAGCTGTAATTTGTGATGAGTCACACAGTCGAAAGCCTTTGTACATTCAACAAAACACAGAAGAGTATCTGCCTTCAGCCAAGATTCATCTGACATCAGCCAAGTGTGAACTCGTAGCTGTAGATTCCAAGTCATGAGAACTCCATAGGACAGAGCAGAACTGTTCCAGGGGGGTTAAGGCCACAGTCTCTGTGGAGGCGGCAGCTACAACTTTCTTCAGTGGCTGCTTCTGGGTTCAAACTGTTAGCCTTCTGGTAGCAGCTGAGTGCTTCACGACGGTGTCACTAGGACGCCGGCACAGGTTATCAGGAGTCAAAATGTGATTTGGCAAACAGGTACGGAGGACCACTAGACCAAGGGAAAGAAGATGGGGCAGGGAGAGGGTGTGGGTTGCCTTAGAGAATATGGTACTTAAAAGTTGGCCTTGTAGCAAAGTAATGAGTCTTTTTCCTTGGGGTCTCAGACTTGGCCCTTCCTATGCAAAAGTCACAACAAGAGAGATTGGGGTCTCTGTGCTTTGGGGTGAGTTTTCTAACAGACAAAGTTGTTTCCTTTGGGGGTAGTAAGGAGGCTCTTCCAAGAGAGACAAATGAAGTTCTTGCAGCTCAAAGCATGTAATTTACAACATTCCAGTGGCTTTATATGATTATTATGTAATGCATTACATAGCTTGATGGATTTTCTACCAAAAAATATTTATTGAGATGAAATTTGCTAACATGAAATCAACCATTTTTCAGTGAGCAGTTCATTGTCATTTAGCTCAACTCACAAGTTTGTATAATCACCAAAATATTTTCATGATGTCAAACTAAAAGCCTTCACCCATTATGCTTTTTGTCCGCATTTCTCCCGCGTTACCATAGTGGTAATGAAAACAGCTGGTCTGGGACATTTCTCCAGGCGAATCCAATGCATAATGAAACCATTATGTAGGCCGTTGAATTCCAGGGCTTCATGATCCTCTCCACATCTGGCTCTCGCTGACCAACCTCTTGGCAGGTTAACTTGATCTGGTGTGTCTGATGGCCATCCCAGGAGGCTGTCTCCACCGCTAGGTGGAGCATCAGGCAGCAAGCCCAGCAAGACCAGTCCCATGACTTCTTTCTGGTCAAGGGAGAAAAGGAAGGAGACCCAGGAGAGGGCTGTGTCCGCCATCCTCAGGCTGAGTGTTATTCTGTCCTCAGTGTGCAGCTGCCGAGGGAGCTTAGTGTTACATGGTGAGCGTGAGGCCATGAGATGGATATGAGAGAGCGGACGGTGAAGCAGCACCGAGTGGGGCCGCGCTCTCAGGCACGCCTGAGCCAAAACAGAGGCAGGGGGAGAGAAACAGCACGTTGAAAAAAGGTGCTCTGAGAAATGACACCATTTGGTGAAGGAGGAAAAGGATGGAATGACTACCTGACACACTGGAGCCCTACGGGTTGAGAGAGAGATCCTGACTGTGCATTTGGGGATGTACACTTTTAAGCACTGGCTTCCTTACTGCCGAGGGAGTGGCTCACACCAACCAGCTATGAGAGAAGAATCTGCTCGTAAAGATTCAGTGTCAGGAACCCTGTGGGGCAGTGCTACTCTGCCTTCTAGGGTGGAGATGAGACAGGGGATACACATATCTAACATGTAAGTGGATTTGTCTAACGCTTAGGTCCTCAAACTCATTTAACCTACCACCTCCTTTTCAGAGGAAAAAAAGTGACTCAGCCCCTCCTGGCACTTAAAAACATGTGCACGGTGGCCCGTATAATCCAGGATGAAGTGTCGCCATCTGCTCTTGTAGCCCCCTTGGATGGTTCCAGTGGCCCCAGGGCACAGCAGTCCCACGCACTTTGGGAAACACTGAAGCCAGTCACACCACTGGATGCATCCCATGCATCAGTGTCTCGGGCCACTGCTGCTTTTCAACAAAAAGAACAGCCAGATGCTTGGCTTAATGTTCTGCCTCCGAGACGGAGTTCCCTTCACCCCTGCCCTTGAGGGAAGTCCCAGCAAAGGACCACAGTGCTGCAGCTGTCCATTTCTCCGTGGTCCGTGCCTTTCTCCCAGAGCCAGCCTGGGTTTCCTCTTCCTCAGTCAGTGGGAACTCCGGCTGAGGTCCCTGGGGCAGACCGGGAGAGACCAGGGTGATGGTGCCTTTGGGGCCTGGGAGCCTGATGTCTTCTATACTATTTTCATTTCATGATAGAGCGCCATCAGTATGGCTTGTTGGGTGAGGCAACACCCAGTTTGTAATGGGCCGCTCAGGTTGTGTGGTACCTTGGTGGCCCATGGTTTAAGCGTTCAGCCCCTGCCAAATCCCACTAACAAACTAAATGCTGTCTTTTAAAAGGAAAGAAGTTACCTGCAGAGGATGGCAGGGCTTTGCTCCAAATTCATCAGCGTCTGTACTTGATTCACCTGTAGAGTCCTGCCAAAGGCTTCAAATAGCATTTCTATCCGCCACGCAAACTTTAGGCATCAAACCAACATCTAGAGTAGTGTTTGACCAAGTCAAGTGGTTACATAAAAATGAATCAAAACAAGTAATAATGTGTTTTAATGTATTTTTCAAAATTAACTATTAAAGTGTAGTTAAATTTGACAAAAACATACATGAGTATTTATAAATGTATTGAGAAGTTCGCATCATATTACAGGAGCTAAATATATATTAAAATGCCATGAATCTCATCACAAAACATGCTTACATTAAAGAA